AAAGAGCATACGGACGTAAGAGTCTTTCTTCTCCAGGTGGTTTAGCGCAGTGTGGACAACAAAGGAGATGGCATCCTCTGTTGATCGGTTCTCACAGTATGCATACTGATGAGGGTCCTCGCTGATGTTGATGGTTGTTTTGATGTGGGTCATGACCAGTCTTTCGAAACATTTAGCGACTATTGGGGTGAGGGCCACTGGCTGATAGTTATTCAGACCAGTCACTGTATAGTTCTTTGGGACTGGGATGATGGTGGCAGTCTTCAGCAGGTGGGAACTGTTTCCAGGGTGAGAGAGGCGTTAAAGATGTCTGCCAGCACCTCGCAGAGCTGATTGGCACATTCTTTCAACACTTTCCCGGGGATGTTGTCTGGGCCGGTTGCTTTGTGCGGATTAATCCTCCTGAAAATGCTCCTTACTTCTGCTGAGGTCACGCTGAGAAGCTCTTCATCCGGTGGTGAGGTGAGTCTGGTGCTGGGTGGTCTGTTCGGGTCTTCAGAGCGTGCATAGAACTTGTTGAGGGCATCAGGCAGTGATGGGTCTTTGGGGCATTGTTCGCTCCTGCCTTTATAATCTGTTATACACTTAATGCCCCTCCACATGCTCCGAGGGTCTTGTGAGATGAATTGACCCTGGATCCTCTGTGCAAATGTGGCCTTGGCCCTCTTAATACCAACATCCAGCTCTTTCCTTCTTCTACTCAGCTTCTCTGAACTTCCAGACCTGAAGGCAGTGTGCCTGGCTTCCAGCAGGGAGCACACCTCTGCATTCAGCCAACGTTTTCTGTTTGTGTAGCTTTCAAGCAGTCTGGATTACTAAATGTAAAGCTACTAGCCAAATATTTTTTTTTACAAGACAATATTGTCAAGGCAATCGATTCTGAAATTATGAATGGAGCTTTAAAAATTAGAGGGCTCCAGTCCCTTTAAAAAACGGCGATCTCATTTGGTTTGTAATGCTGACATTTGTATTTCAAAAAGTTGTAGGTATTGAGTTGTTATTGAAATGTGATTTGGAAATCTAAACTACCTCTTCAGCTGTCTACTTTCCATCAACAAAGTTTTGATGGGCAATCATGTATAATGAAATCAGCTAGAAGTAGTTTTAGATGACCTATTTTGTTAAATATATAATTGGGGACACAATACCAAACTGATTCTGAATTTTTGATCCAGGATTTCAACCAGTTAATCTTAAGGGTCCCATTGAGGCACTCAAAGTCAGTTACTTTCAGTATGTCTGCCTCTTTAGATGACTTGCACCATGTCGGTTCTTTAACTGGTGTTGTTCAGCTGGTTATTGTGCTGCTTGGTAATAGGAGGACTTCTAAAGCATATACAAACTCAGTACTGCAAGTGTTGCTTGAGTCCTCATATTAACGTCTTTACATCCCTGAACCTCAGAAGTAGGTTTTGTAGAAGTTGTGTCAAAATGTTCTGTATCTTTCAACCCATTACTCATCTCAAGTTCCAAGTACTTTGACCATTTCCTGGGCCGTCCCCTGTCTCATAGTGTTGTTGAGCAGTTGTGTAACAAACTGGTTTTGTACCTGTTTAGATCACGTTTATGCTCCATGTTTTTTTCATTGTGTTGTTTACTGAACATGCTAAAAATCACATTCAGAAAACAAGGAGTGTGACAAAAGTTAAAAAGAATAAACATTCTGAATGTAGATGCTGCTTTGGTGATGATTTTTTGCTCTTCACTGGTTGCTGTATTTTCTGTATGTGTATCATTTTAAAGATGTCAGTAAGTTTAGCCACAAAAAAGTTAATTTAAATCTTTGTAATAAGAAAGTAAACACTATATTTTGAGAAATTATGAAGAACTAAATGGTATGTTGGGAATTCAATGATGGTAGAAATGTTTTAAAGTAAATACAACTTACTTTTGACTTGGCAAAAGTTCACAGTTGTACTTGTGTAAAATTTCTAGTACTTCCTACTTTAAGTAGAGTGGATAAATAAATTTGTTGCTGCAATGTTAAAATTTAAGTTACTACAACTCATAATTAAGTTGGCAGTAATCAGGATTTATAGTTGTCAGAATCTATAATTTTAGGTATGTGCAAACTATAATAGAGTTAGACAAATATGAAATTCATAGTTTGTACAACATACACTTTTAAGTTACTGCTACTTTAATATGAATTAGAAAACTCAGGATTCAAAGTTCTTACAACCTAAAACTTTAAGTCTCTACAACTTTTGGTTGAGTTACAAAAACATAGAAATCAAAGTTTGGCAAACTCAAAAGCAAAACTTAAATAGTTGAAGTCCATAACTTAAAAATGCCCTGAAGTTTGTTGCCTTAGAATTTTGAGTTCTGCCAACTTTTCCTTTTTTACAGTGTAAACCTGTCCAGTTTAGATTTCATCAGATCAGACTCATCACGCCCGATCAACAGTTATTGTTATGTGTCAGTGACAAAGTCGCACCATTCCAACCCAGTGATTGCCAGCTGACCTGCCAGTAGCATGGGTGTGAACACCTCAGACTTGCGTGGACATTCTTCATGAACAAATCCATTCCACTTGATTACTGGGAGAACACTCAAACCACTGTGCTCTCTAAAGTAGTCATTGACTCAAATGTTTGCTCATGGAGGTAAACATATACAACCCATTAAAATACACCAGAATGCAGGAAATGGCATCTACTTTATTCAAAATGTTCTGGGGGAGGACCCCCAGACACCCCCACCAGTGCCCCCCCACATTACAAATGTTTCTGACACCATGCTACTACTATTAAAGTAATATGTTTTATTACTCTTAGGAAATGTGTGTTGAGATACATTCCTGCTGCTACTTTACATTTTTGTTGTTTGAACATGAAAAAAAAACAAAACAAGTAAAAATTAATTAAATTGTAATCGTTACCATTTTTTTTTTCCTCTCGATAACATTTTATTATTTTTCGTCTCTGAGCTGGAAACGTCTCCAGATTTAATGTCAGAAATGTGATCACCTTAAAAACGTAGCAGAATGTCACGTGTTAGGAATGCGTTTCATCATGAGGAGTTTTTGCAACAATTTCTATCTTCACTAAAGTCACAGGATTCAAATCAAATTCAAATCCCTCCTACAAGTCAATCTTCAGTAAACCACATCTTTTCATTTTCACCGTTCTCACTTAGTGAAGTTAATAATAAATTGTTAAAAGATCTAGACTCTAAAAAATCTGCAGGACCAGATGAACTTCCACTTTATTTCTTAAGGCTGGCTGCTCATATCATCACAGTCCCTGTGTCCCACATCTTCAATCTCTCCATAAGACAAAACTCCACTCCAGATGCTTGGACAACAGCCTTTGTTCTTCCTTTGCTGAAGGGAGGTGACCCCACCTCACTGAACAACTATCGACCAATCTCTAAACTCTGCATTTTAGCCAAGGTTCTAGAAAAACTGATAAACTCTCAAATCAAAAATTACCTGGACTCATTTAACATCTTACCTCCACATCAATCTGATTTCAGGAAACAACACAGCACAACCACTGCTTCACTGAAGGTTCTTAATGATGTTGTTGAAGCACTGGATGCTAAGGATTATTGTGCTGCACTTTTCTTAGACCTGTCTAAAGCTTTTGACACTGTGGATCATAACATCTTGTGTCATAAGCTCTCAGAAATTGATTTTTCAGATCACACCATTGGTTGGTTCTCTAACTATCTTTCAGACCGGAGGCAATGTGTTCAACATAATGGTACTTCCTCCAGTTATTTAACAGTCAACAATGGTGTACCACAAGGCTCAGTCTTAGGACCCACTCGCTTTACAATCTACATACGTAAAAACATCCCTAATGCATCCATACATTTCTACGCTGATGACACAGTTGTTTATTGTCGAGCTAAAACAGTTGCTAAGTCTTTCCAGCTTTTGAAATCTGCATTTGACATCATCCAGTCAGATTTGTTCCACCTCAAACTTGTCTTAAATGCCGACAAAACCAAAGGGATGTTGTTTTCAAACAGGAAGTTGGTCCCAGCAGTTCTTGATTTTAGCCTTGAATGGTGTTCCTATCGAGTTTGTTGATTCCTATAAATATTTTGGTATCTTGGTCAATTCTCTCTTTAAAGCTCCACGTGGAACCTAGTAAGGAAATTGAAAGTAAAATTGGGTTTATTTTTCAGAAACAGATCCTGTCCAACTCTGAACGCTAGAAAACACCTTGTAACTGCAACTTTCCTTCCCTCCATTGATTACGGTGACATTATTTACATGAACGCTCCTACAAGAACCCTGCAGATGTTGGATGCTGTCTATCATGGTGCACTAAGATTCATAACTGGCTGTGATTATCGTACCCACCATTGCACCCAGTATTCACTGGTTAACTGGACATCATTAACTTCACACAGACTCTCTCGCTGGTACATTTTCATCTTTAAATCACTTCTTGGTCTGCTGCCTTCATACATCTCCTCCTACATGTCTCTGCGTGAGTGCAGCTACAGCGTGCGCTCTCAGGACATTATTATCTGCAGTGTTCCCTCAGTGAGGACTGAACTAGGCAAAAGGGTCTTCTCCTACTCCGCTCCTGTTTCCTGGAATATCTTGCAAAAAGATCTGAAGCTCTTGACCTTGATCTCTCGAAGTGGCTTCAAACATCTGTTAAGTTCCTGGGGAAAAACCAACGCAGACATGTTCCCGTTTTTAGTTTTCTACACCGCCTTATAATCTAGCTGTTTTGTTTTATTTTTTAACACCATTTTCTTTTAAATTGTTCTTCTCAATTTGTACACATCCTTTATGATTGTCCATTGATGTCATCACTATTTGTTAAAATCAGGTCTCTCTTGTAAACGAGTCCTCGTGACTCAGTGGGATTAACCTGTATAAATAAGGGATGAATGAAAAAGGATAACTAAAATAAAAGCTGCCCCTCTGCCATATCACAGTCTTGTTGACTTTCACATTTAAGTAAATGAGTAAAATAAAAAAATGTTTTTTCTTGAATTTATTCAATGCAACAAAGAAAGCATACAACCCCCTCCTCTAACAAACCCAACTCTGTCTGATCTGCTGAAAAAGAAAGCTTGTACACCCTCTTCCCAAAATCCCCCATTAATAATTTGCTAGCCAGGCAGCCAAGAAAATAAACAATTTGTCAACTTAAAAATTCCAAACACATTTTTTTTTAAACAATTTACATCGTATTTTCTAACGCTAATCACTAAAGTTACATATATACACGCTTGGTTGTAGCCTTGACCACAAGCGCCTTGGAAAAAATTAAAATAAAACGTCACTTCCTCACTTTGTATAGAAAATAAAAATCACTAGTCTAATTTAACGTCAAATAAAACTTTCTGAACTGCTCTGTTCACAATGTGTCCACTATCAGAACAAAAAGAGAATTAGAGGCACTCACATTTTGCCCTAGTCATCAAGTATCTCCTCTAAAAAACATTTGAATTGGAACAACTTATTAGTTTCACAGGGACGAAAGTTGCACTTGAAGGACAATTTAAAATCTGACCTGTTTGTAAAAAGTACTGTCGTGAGTACAAATGATGTAGATTCATGCTAAGCCTAGAAAACTTGTGACCGTCTGAACACTAGCTGGATGCCATATCTGCATCACAACAGATTAATATTCTTAGTAAAGTCTAGAAAAGATTTGGAAATCGTATAGTTTTAAATTAAATAAATAAGGTTTGAAAATGTAAAATACTGTCCAAAAAAAGAGAGCACTATTAAGTTACGGTAAACTAATCTGAATTGTACTCTGACAACTTCTTTGAAATCTCATTAAACAAACATTGTCCAGATGTTTTGCTCACAACAAGTGCATAACTGGTGTTTCTACAGCGTGAAGGCTACGTTGTTTTAGGCTGTTTTGAGTCAATACGGTTCGATTTTGTTAAAAACGGAGAATCTAATGGGACAAAACTGAACACGTTGGGAAGTGAAGTAAAGGTTAAAATAATATAAAACTAGATGGTGAGATACAGATGGGAAGAAAAAGACCAGGGAGCATCACAGAGCCAGGAGAGGTCTGCGGAGGCCGTTCTGAGGAGGCAGCGGTCGCCGCTCCCCCTTCCAGCCTCGTCAGTCTTGCTTGGCGTTGCCCAGCGCCCTGAGGCGCTCCAGAAGAGGAGGGTGTGAATAGTGCCACATGGAGAACAGCCAGTCGGCAACAGGGAAGCCCAGGTTGTCCTTGTTCAGCTTGATGAGAGCAGAGTACAGCTCCGAGGCTTTGCCCATACCACGTGCAAAGGCATCTGCCTGGAACTCAAACCTGCGACTCAGGACTGTCAGACAGAAAGACAGGAGCTGCAAAGAGAGGAGAACATTTTAACATCTCCGAACAGTAGAAATGAACGTGAAAGCACGTGGAATATCAATCACCTCATTGTAGGGAGAAAAGATGAACTGGAAGATAATCATCAAGCCTATTAATGTGGGCTGGCTGTTAATAAATCCAAACGCTACAAACAGTTCCTTGCGCCCAATCAGAACAGCAAAGAGGGAGAAGCACAGGAAGGAATTCATCTGCAGAGATAAAAACAACCAGTTATTGCACATCGACCCATGCACTCAGGCTTAGATCTAAAAAAAGTCAAGTCATGTCCTCTGGAAGGGTTAAAAAAATAATAAAGATTACAGGGGGAATGTGGCGCGTTCACAAGAACCTGACAAGTTGTTTAATGACAAAATATATTTTGTTAGCAAAGAATAGAGTCCTAACATTTGTTAAACATCTGTTGTTACAACAAATGAAAAAACAAAAAAAAAGAGTGCTTTGACAATCGATAAAACTAAAAAATGTTTTCAACGTGAAAGAAGAAAGAGGGGGCAGGTGTCGCTCTCGCTTTGAGTTTATACTCTTTGTTGCTGCATGCTGTGAGTGAAATGTGCCCAGAGCGGAGGACTTGTTAGCAAAGAATAGAGTACTAACATTTATTAAACATTACTTCTGTATTAAAAAAATAAAAAAAATTGTGCTTTGACGAACTAAAAAATAAATTGTTAACGTAAAAGAGGAAGAGGGGCAGGTAACGCTCTCGCTTTGAGTTTATTCTCTGTCGCATGCGTGCTGTGGGTAAGCGTCCAGAGCGTCACCAGCTCAGGAGGTGTCACAGCGACACGGTTCAAGCACGGCTCCCCAAACGACAAGACAGACATATCTGTTCATAACTGTATTATTAGTCAGCCTGAGAGTTGACAGATTTTAGCAAACAGTTGCCGAACGCACCCTGACACAA